CATTCGACACTCCTCACAGCTAGTTTTTGACTGAGGGAGGAAAACCAGCGGACCTGCAGAAAAACCCTCGGAGCAAGGAAGAGAACCAGCCTACAAACTCAAATCACACATATAGCCCCGGACCGGGAATCGAACCAGGACCACAGCGGTGCTCCATCCTTGCTCCTTGGATCCTTGCTCCTTGGTCAGTCGGTCGGAATCTACAGTTACCAAAGCTACGAATAATAATTGCTAGGAGATTTTTAATGGACTTCTCCAAATATCATTAAACATGTAGGCTGGTGTAAATAATCTCAGATGACAAGTCAAGTTATAACAGAAAAAGTTCATAACATAACGTTGGCCACAATCGAAGGATTCTATAATCTACCTGTCTAAGGAACGGCTGCCAAGGAGGTCGTACTGAATGACAATGTATCTCACCTTAATCTCATTTTCGGCAAAATGAACAAGTTTTTCGACATTTTTTTGCAGCGTAGCTTGTTCGGCATTGACCCCTTCTTCTCCAACCATGGCAATAATAGCCATAACCCCAAGTATCCCGACAATCTAAAAACCAAATATAATACCTAGTGGTTAAGAAATATAGAACTACGAGGGGCTAAAATCACTATGGTCAAAAATGAAACATAACTGAATCTTACCGCTGTGACACATCTGGCAAAAACGTTTGCAGCTTTGTCCATATCTGAAGCAGAAATACGGATGATGGTTCATACTGTTAAAACGCTGGCGGCAATTGGAAATAGCGTCTCTACATCCTAAAAGAGAAAATGTGAGGCTATGAATCATTCAATACAACTAAAATCTAGCATGAGCTGCGAATTTTGCGGCAATTTATTGTAAACCCAAATCGCTCGTGTTAACAGCCTGCAAATGTACGGCGAGAGATCGCAATTTTATCAAACCAAATTCGGACATCATGCTTGAGATTTTATTGAAAAAGTCGCTGCGATTTTCACTTGAACGTTTCGTGTGAAATCACCGTAAATTTTCAGACTGATTACACGAGCAATAAAATCGCCACAAAAATTGCACCTCGTGTCGCGCAGAGGAATCCTGGACTACAACTCCCATCATGCTTTGCTGCACAAAATGGCGTCGCTTAACATTACATATGGGTGATTATTTTTTTCAGTAAAAATAACTTTAATCCTTTCGATATCAATTGATACATAGATACAAAATGTCAAAATACAACAGTAGAGTACAAACACTAAAACTGTGCAACATAAATACCACTAAATACTGCTAAATTATGCTAATTCTATTGTTTAATTAACACTATTTTGTACTAAATAGTGGAGAGTGTTGCACACATTTAATGTTTGTACTCTATACAAGCAATAATTAACTAAATAATAAATCTATCAAATAAATAGATGTGTAGATTGTAAACTTGTGAGAAAATAGAACATCTAAAGTTCATCATATAGTTGTAAAAATCATAGCAATATTTAGCACATAATCAATATTTCAATACGACAATGTTGCTTTTTAAAAGTTTTTAAAAGCTGCTGTACACCTTTTTGTGAAAACGTTGTCCTGAGATTTCTAGAGTTAGAAACATTTAAAAAACAACAACAAAATAACAACAACAACAACAAATATGACCAGTCAATTTCTTTTGTATTTTACAAATTACTAAAGTTCTAATGCTATTTTCTTGGACAACCCCTTTTAAAGTTATCGATATTCTTGTTACCTAGCAACCGTAATGATAAGTAGTACATGCAGATGTCTTATAATAAATCAACCGACACTTCAAAACTATTTGCCTTTGCTTTTATGTTTTACATTTATTTGATCATTTTACTTTGTCAACAGAACTTAAAATCCTATCGCTCGCGTCTAGATCTTATTTTAAGAAGTTTTTTTACGCTTTTATAGCAAACTATATAGCTTAATTGATCACGAATTAATGCATTTAAAGGTTATAAATGCTTCAATAAGAAATATTCATTCAATCTATATAAGAACAAACAACAACACTTACTGATACTGTATATAAAGTTTAAGATCGTTTAAGCAAGTTATGTTTACTATAGTCTGACGAAGTGTCTGCGGTTTGTCTGTGAATTTAGCCCATGATTCACGAAATGAGAAACAAAGCTGCAAATTTTGATCGCATCCCTTCCTGTTCACAAAATACTGATTGAAAATAAACGAAAATGGAACCTTCACGATCAGCGAACACTGTACAAACCTTGCAGAAGTATGAGCGTAATATTTAGCATTTTAAAACGGCTAACAGATTGAAAAAATTCGCTTTGTCGTGGCTGTATACTTTTAAAATACTGTTGACTACGAAAAGATATGATGCAGAAAGAATTTCCACTTAAAAATAAAAATGGAAAAAACAAAATGGTCTGAAAAAGAGGTTAATTTATACCAAGACATCAGTTTGTTTTTACATGGTTTTATATCATTATTTCTTTCTTTTAGCTTTTAGGCCCATAAAGAGTCAAATGCGTCACGGTTAGCATAAGATAACTCCAGGCTACCTGTAAATTTTCTCGTTTACGTGACGAATAATGACTAAGTTTTTCGACGATTTACGGCTGACTCGTGACTGATATCATCTAATAGCTCTGGTTGTATCAAATTCCTGTCTTTAAAACCATTAACGGCAATATAATAGTGGTTAGATAACAAATATTGTCATTATGTATATCTAGTACCTGTGAAATATCCTGAAACATACCCTTGACTTGTGAATGATGTATAATTGATAACTGATATAAACAAAATCCAACATTTCCGCATCTTGTCGCAACGACTTCTCGTAGAAACAAGTGAACGTCGCGTAAGGACTGCATATTACATCGATCTATTCACCAAACAGCCAATCGCCGCTGACCATCGAAAGCAATTAATAGGCCTTTTGCTTGAAACCGCCACATGGTAGTAAATCCGCCATTCTGGAGGGCAAAATTCCCATGCACTGAGATGCTCAAAACAAAGTAAAAATCAAGCTTGACAGGCTGCGTTCCTTCTGTTTCCGAGGCTGTTTACATTCTTTTGTCCTCCAGAATGGCAGTTATAGTACCATGCATATGTGACCGTAAAGTATATTCATCTCAAATTTTATCAGCGACAAATATACCCCCTACACCACCCCCCTAATGGTTACCAGTGACCCTWTGTGGAATATCCGTGAAATGTTATTTATTAATCAGTTAAAAGTCTAATAAGTGCTCTAAATCGCCTTAATATCTAACGCTTTATATTGTTGTAAGGAAGTACTTATCTTTGTATTGTTGTATCAATTTTTGCCTTGCGGCYAGCACGCGTTCAAAGTCTCATTATTGCCATGTACTGTCAAACTAGAAAGAAATGAGCGGAAGTACTTTCCGCTATATTACGGACTTCTAGTCTTAAGGCGATACACTACTACTAATTCGCACATWTGCTCGCGTTAGGTGACGTTTCAGACCAATTTGACGCCGTACTCTTAATGCAAATTATTTCAGAATTCTATCCGTCAGACATGAATTAGAGCATAATTTATACTRCTTTTATATACGAATTTACATGAATTAAAAAACTTTCATATTGTCGTAGTGCTGAATACGAGCTCCAACTCAGAATTCCATATATTTCTGAAAACGTTTGTAATAATTCCGGCGTAAAAAGATTGAATGAATTGAATATTCTATCTTTTGGAGACAAAAGGAGACGACGACTTTAAAACAAGTATCTGTTAAGAGTTTTGATAACGTTTTCTAGTATCTTTGAGCTATTTAACAGTACGCCAAAAGCTATTGTTCGTAGGACGCTTCCGTAYTAATGGTTTTGTTATCTGTCAACAACTAYAACAAGCTTGATAATRTCTTTTTCTTTCCGCATTCGACGGAAAATCACCCTATTGTCTACTAGCTTAGCTTTTTACGGTACAATAATMATGTTATTCGCTTTTATAATGTAGATAATAGTACTAACGCCGTGTTTTATTTCGCCGGTAAATGCACGAGCATGAATCATTTTCCATGTCATAAAAACTGCTCTCGTAATTTTTTAGGTTTTTTTTTCGTATTCCCCCAACACCCCCTGCGTGCTTTATTTCTCACGGSTTCTTCTGATTTATGTGATATTATATATAATGATTACAGAAGAATTGCCTTGAAAAACCTCTGAAAAAACTCTGTTTTGTGTTTTTAAAATATATAGTTCTGCGCAAATAGGGGCTAGTAGTATAAATCGTTATAACAAGGAGAAGGTTARGGTTGCATGGTTGCATGGTTTAATTAATGAAGAAAATCTTATTSAACACCAGTGTAAAAATAAGGTGAATCACACGTTTTGATGTCTTGTGATGCTATTCAACTATCGCCGATAAAAAAAAAACAATTACGAACGATTTGAATTCCACGACAAAAAAAAAAAAAAAAAAAAAAAAAAAAAAAAAAAAAAAAAAAAAAAAGCGGTGCGACAATCGCACTGAAAAATCGCATGTGTTACCTGCCAAGCCCACTTGTTGCTTTTGCTTTCACTAAGTCTTTTATAACATCTGACGATGCCTTTGATAGAGTTACGCATTTCAAACCCACAAAACGGATAATGCWTTGGACCAATCATAGAACCTCGTACGAGCGAGACTGCCACGTTGACAGAGCGTCTTTTCAGGGTAGAGTCGTATGGATTTACATGATGGTTATCATCATTTTTTGAGRTAATATCAATATTATCATAACCGAGAAATGTTAATTAAGCTAAACGTATGTAAATTTGACACAATAATATGAGCGGCTGGTCTATGGTGGATTAAAAGGACGAGCCATAGGCGATCGATAAAGGTCTTTCGTCAAGATTTATTTATCTTATCTARTTTTACGTTCAGCTTGGTTTTCTCTTTATTGATAAAATTTTCAATAACATTAGTTTTGATACAAAGGGACTGATCTGACCGAGAAAATCCAGKCTAAAGAAAACGAAACGAAATGTGTGGTAACTTTTCAAAGTTGACCGTTTTGAATGTAGACCGGCACCAACTAGTTCATTGCGAGGAAAAAAGGAACTCTTTATGTTTCATGGTATTTTTACTTATTTACAATATTTTTATATATCAGTTTGATACAATAAAAAAGAGGCCCTRAACTGCCATTGGCACGAGGAGGACAAGTAACATTTAAAAACAAAACTATTGCGTCCTACGTAGCCTTTCCTCTGGTCTTTTCCCTGAACTTTGCCAGTCTAATTTCGCACAAAGACTGCACCAATATTTGATTAGCATATCAAAAAGAGGGCAGCGACTCAAAATTTTAGATCGTTTGAAAGTTTCAAATACCGAATATATGTATATATGCATAAAATCAATTGTAACTGAGCATGRATTTCTGTGACACTGAGCACAAACGAAATATCGAAGAAATACTTTGAATTTAGTTTATTTATAAGGAAAGGTCATTTTGAAGAGTATAATGCCCAAGCTWTGACMCTATTTTACAATAATTGTTCTGTCAGTGGCCTGTTTAAATCACCGCTGCAATTAAACCAATCGTAATAGCGCGAAACAGCGGGAAAACAGCACCGACCGACTTTCTAATTAATAAAACATAAAGACAGATTTCAAAATTGCGCATTTATAACCACAATTAAATAAGCATAATTTCTTACAATTTAGAATTTGCTTGGAATCTTTTAGCTCTCAATCATTCATTTTAGATKTTAAAGACAACGGACGTAATCCCGTGAAGAAACACGAATGCGAAATATTTTGCTGTGAACACTTACCAACATGGCCGCCACGCGTCAACTAAAAACCATCAATAGTTTCACGGTTTACACAATACAGTGTTGTACTCTAATAAATAGTTTACCTTGCAAACTGGATATTTGTTGATAGGGTGGTGGGTATGAGTACACAACAGCGGGAAYCACKACCAAAATCAGCAGTAGTACAATTCTTGACAACATGGTTCTACAGGACGCGAATAGTAATGAATGTTAGGTGCGAAGTAGCGATTATATCATCATAACGGCGGACGTCACGCCACGCCTCATTAGTGTGGGTGCACTTGACAGATAGATGGGTCTGGTATGCAACGTAATGAGCACATCACTAGAAATGACTAGCACCTTTCCTTGTCGTTACAAAATAAAAAAACTCATATGTATAACCTAATTATAGCATRAAATCCAGTTAATCGTGTGAGCGTATAGTCCCAGAACGCGCAGATTTCGTATGACACTGCAWCGCCAGGGATTACAGCGTACGAACAACAGACGCGACGCGGTCACGGAACTTCGCCTGATATGCAATGGTTGAGMAGTTAKCGCGGTCACGGTACGAAAGTATCGTAATCATATGCACTCATACGAAATCTGTGCAGTCTATTGTTAAGGCGGAGAAATACTAGATACCTCAACTTGCAACGCATCATTGTTCA